GGGTGTGGGGGGGGGGGGGGGTGGGGTGGGGGTGTGGGTGGGGGTGTGGGTGTGGGTGTGGGATGTGGGTGTGGGTGTGGGTGTGGGTGTGGGTGTGGGTGTGGGTGTGGGTGTGGGTGTGGGTGTGGGTGGGTGTGAGTATTGGTGGAGATTAAAAGCAGAAACACACCCACACCCACACCCACACCCACACCTACACCACACCCACACCACACCCACACCCACACCTACACCACACCCACACCTACACCCACATCCCCACCCACCCACACCCACACCCTTCTTAATATTAACTGTTAAGTGAAAATTTAATTCTTAATATTAAATTAAGATAAAGGGACCACCCCTACACAAATGACATCTTTATCATAACATTTCTTCGAATTGTGATTTTTGCTCTTTGTTTCTGTTTTTTTTAATTGTTTTAGCTAAAGACGTAAGCTAATACGAAGAAAGTGATTTATTCTGATAGCGCATGAAATTGTGAGTCCTCTGATGTATGATACAAATGGTTACCCTAGGCGAACTTTTTTTCACGCACTTGAGCTACGCAGATCTCAAGTTTTGTCCATAGCACATGACCTTCTTGCTCAAGACAAGCGCTTGAATGTTGCATGAATATACACCAACGAATTTTTATTAAAAGTTGAGTTATTTTGAACGTAAAATTGTGAAAAGACTATAAAAAATTCTTGAATAACAGAAACGCTTGCATAAGAATTCAAGCACATGTGCTTGAATATCAAGCGATAGAACAAGAAATTCAAGAGCTTGAGCTCCCAGAAAGTTCTCAAATCTTGCCTCAAGTTTTGTCCATAGCGCATGACTTTCGTGATTAAGATTCGTAAGTATTACCTGTACAGACAAAAAGAAGTTCGTCTAGGGTAATTCATCATTAAAACATGTATTAGACAATGATCATTTGATAATGATAAACCTTCAATAATAACATTCATAATGTATTTAACATCATCTATAATCGTTAAATTATCAAGGGTGGGTGTGGGTGGATGTGATTTGCTGTCTCTCCTAATTATCTACACCCATACCCACAACCACACCCACACCCACGCTCATTTATTATTTTCTTTCCCTTATCATAAGCCTGGAGCACAATTTTATCATTAAAGAAAAGTAAAGATCGTTGAGTATTTACTCTCTTGATACGCTAATAAATGCAATAAATGATATGTATGAATGCGGATAACGAGAGAACTTACAAAATGATGTTATTCATCTATTGAATAGTATTAATACAAAGTAATTGTGCTTGTTGTATTCATTCATCATTTTGATATCGATTCGAAAGAAAAACAGTAAGTCTGCTTAATTTTTAGATTTTAGCATTTTACCTCAACTTTATTCATCTTATGAAAATTCACTAATAACTAGAATAATCAAATATATTGATGAAAAAAGATAGATAAAATCATCGAATGATCACAGTCATCTTCGCGTTGGAGTCGTTAGAATTTCGTGTAAGATTATCAAAGTAATTTAGACAAGAGAAACAGATTTTTATTTGCTGTTCTTTTTACTGGTTATAATAATATCCCAGCATTTTTTATGAAAAACAAGCGTATATGTATTTGATTTTGTAATCGCATATTTCTAAATTATATCGATTGATATAAATTTTTCATTCCCTTATTATTACAAGTAACATTCGTCGGCTCGACTCACTTGACCCTCGACTGTTTAAGACAAGTATATTGTGCATGTGAGTATCAAAAGAATCGATCTACCAGCCTCGTCACCATAACTGACTCAACCTTTGATTTCTTGAATGGTACAAGTCGAAGAAACTGACCGGCCTCTTTGAAAATAAAACCTCATCCGTGGAAACCTAGTTATAAAACAGCTCATTCAGGAAGAACTCATCGCATACGTCGGATTAACTGAATATTCAGTTTGAAAAATAGAATTGATGAAAAGCCCAATATTAAAAACCCGAGCACCGAAAACTTATTCAAAGTCTTTTAATGACGCTTCATCGTTTACTTTGAAAATAATAGACAAAAACTTATTTTATTTCATATAAGTCTCCCTACACGTGAGCAAATATTATTAATTTCTCAAAAAACTTTTTCCCTGAACCTAAAAAAATCCATTCAAAATTTTTAGAAACTGGCTTCAGATTCGGATTTCTTGACCTCGGTTTCCTTTCGTCAATCTTTAGAACATATCAATACTTTCTCAAAAAACCCTTTCCTCAGCCCAACAAACTCAATTCAAAATTTTGAAAAAGTAACTTCAGATTCGGATTCCCGACTCCGATTTACTTTCGTTAACCTTTAGAAAAGATCATCATTTTCTCAAAAAACCCTTCCCTTAACCCAAACAAATCACTTCAAAATTCTCAAATTCTGACTCTAGATTCGGATTTCCCGACCTCGATTTACTTTTGTCAACCTTTATGGAAAAAAATTTTCTAAAGTGGAAGTTTTTTTGACCCCTATGCAGACACACACACATACAGACACACAAACTATTTTTTTCTCATATGACCCTCCCTACAGTCTGGGGAATAAATTATGATTTTGCATGATCTTTAACGACGAAAATCGTTAACATGTCTTTAATCTTTATGAGAATCAAAGATTTAGACTATTTTATTTGTGAAAGAAAGTGATACTAATATGAATTTTCAAAAGTCGACCATCTTCTTTTTTTACGTCAGTGTTCTAAAAATATTTTGTACACATGCTGTTAATGTGGCAAACTTCTCATCATAGTGCTCAAGAAAGTTTACTCTTTGAAATGAACGCGAACTGTGACGAACTCTACAAATACTTTTCTGTTACATATAACAAAATCATACATAGACTTGCAAATGTAGAATGGAAGAATGCAATACTGTCTATTCACTTCCGTTTAGCGATGTTTTAAGACGACAGGAAACATAAATGAGCCATCTGATTGAGACAACTATGTTTTCTTTTGAGTGAATCTTGAATGATACAGTTCTCATATGTGATATATCTGTGTATGTTTTATTTTCTTTGTCTAGAATCAGTTTTGATATAGAAAATAAACCATGGCACAAAAATTTTTAGTCGTAATATTTCAATTATGTGTACTTTCAATGTTATTTATTCATGTTGCAAGTAATACACAATCCAATAAATATTGCCCAATTCATTCGGACGCCTTGGAATTGGAGATTCAAACTGGAGACAAATGGTTAGCTGGTACGGATGATAATATTAATCTTCTTCTTCGTAGTGGCAACGGTATGATTTGTCGAGAGTATCATTTAGATAATTGGGGCAATGACCGTGAGCGCAATAGCATTGATAAATACAACATTTGTTGTCCGGAAGGATTCTCAGACGACTATAAAGAAATCAGCATGTTTGCGTTGGCTCATGGACGGGTTGCGGGAAAAAATGGCCAGGCAAATACTAATGATTAGTTTATTGAACGTGTCACAATAAAAGCAGAAGGTCGAGTTATTTTTAATTATCGCTTTCATTCTTGGACATCACCGTCGAAACAATGGATATTTGGCGTATCCAAAATCAATGACACGTTATATTTTCGCTTTTAATTATGTCTTGTAAAATGTGACTTTCATTACAGTAAAAGTATCACTTTCATATTTGACATGTCAGTTAGACTATTCAATCTACTCAGTTATATATGCGTGGCATGATATCAATATGCTTGATCCTATTGACATGTCATAATAATACGCAATCAATCACATTTTTCATCCCTTTGTATTCTTGTGATTTTGAACGGATAGTTAGCACCAATTTAGAAGGATTGAATTCATGAAGATCGTTCAAGGTATTGAAAACAAGTCATTTCCCTACACAATTAATTACTGCATTAAACCATGTGAAAGAAAATGATCGATAGAAGAACAGCATTACTGCCGTGTTTGATCTTTTCTTTGGATATTACCTTTACGATCATTGTAACTTACTATTGTGTGAGACTTTGGAAATGTCTTGTAATCCGCTTCCTTGACTAATGAAAGTAGCATCTATGCAACTACTTTTTGAATAGTTGGGTGCAGCTGCAGCTGTGGGTATCGGTGTCGGTGTTGGTATGTAAAGAAGAGGCATGGTCACACTCCACACTCGAAAAAGGGTGTGAGCGTGTGTGGCTGTGGGTATGGGTGGGTGGGTGGATGTGGATGTTCTTTCCTTGCCAAGGCAACCCTACACCCACACCCACACCCACACCCACACCCACACCCACACCCACACCCACACCAACACCCACACCCTGATGGAGAGATGAATTGACGATTTTTATGTGAATGTGTCTCGTCTCAATTGTTCATGTATGACAAATGTGAATCATGTACTCTTCAACAGGATGACCCGATTATAATTTAACTCTAATTCAGTACATATGAATTTTTCTTGTTTTATACTTTTGAAATGCGTTTCGATTTCGAAAAATACTATCAGGTTTTATTCTCTCCGTGGAGTCGAAAATTATTGTTATTATATCGTGATTTTTTATTATGTGTCAAGGAAAGAAGGCTAGCTTGGTTTCTCCAATTCTAATTTGTTGAAATACAATCATATTGAACGACAACAGAAAAAATACGATATAAAAAAAGAAAGGAAAAAACAGCGAAATCATTGAATAGTCATGTGGGTGTAGATGGTGATAAGAAGATCTGTCCGTACTCACACCTAGTTATTTAATTTCTAAGCAGCTAAATTTTAATCTCAACAACTCTTTTTTGAATCTATAATCCGAGAAAGAAGAAAACTCGTTCTCGCACCTGCATAATATATTTCAAATGATACTTTGATTTTATGCTGTATCTTTTCGTTTATAAAGTTGCTATAAAAATAAGTTTTATCAAATTCGAAAGAAGAGAAAAAATTGTATTGTTTTTTGAAAATAGTTTCCATTCGCACTCTTTTATAGAAGAAAAATAGGAATCGCATATTATGTGATTAGTTCTGAATTTCACATTATGTAAATAAATACATGAATTTTAACTTACTAAGTTACTTTAGAGCTTATCAGTACAATTATACGTATCTTCTTGATAAATAAAGTATCATATGTGAAATATAGACAAACATTCTATTTTGTTTACTTTGATGAAGTTGAAAAGTCTTTTTTTTTCTTTCTGTTGATGAAGAATAATATCTGAATATTAACAATATGTTAGATTTTATTAGTAGACCAATAGTATAATGTTTAGTGTTGTGCATGAATCAAATGTTATAATGAAAACAGTGATAGGTTACATGACATAATAATAAGTAAAATCAAACAGAACAACTTAACTATTGTTTTTCTTTTATAATTTTAGAATGAGAATAAACTAGAAAAAATAGATGAATATAATTTTCTCTCATCAATAATGTTGGTGCTTCGTACAAAGAGGATAAATTACTCATTATCATAAATAGTTAATTAAAACTGAAATATTGAGAATATTAAGTAAACAGTGTCTCCTCAATTTATCGTTTTTGAACACAATAGTTTATTTTTTTTCCTTATGGAATATTAATACTGAATAATATTCGTCATCTCGATCTGTAGCATCATTAGAATATTCGTGAAACACGAAGAATATCTTTATTAAGATTGTTCAGCTTCTTTTCACTTTAACTTCAGTTTATTTTGAGTTGCATTTGTGGTTTTTTTTGTTGTGACTTTCAATACACTGCCGTAAGGCTAAGTGGAGAACCTGATGTAAAATTCACTTTTATCATCAGATTATGTCAGTAAATGCTAAATATTATTTTATTTTGAAACATGTTTCTTGTATTTCGATCATCTGATTTCTACAAGGAACACTCATATAATTCAATGTGGATTAAAACAGATGACAGAATGCTGATAATCGATAAACATGATGTACGCTAGTCAGGCAATTATTTTGACGCGTACATCGCGTTGGTTTATATCAAAACGTCTATATGTTACTGAAGTCTGTGAAAATTGATAAATATAAACCGAACGTGATTGAAATATACAGTATCGAAATATTTGAGCCGTCTACACTAGCTACTGAGCATAGATCGACTGGGTTGCTCAGATAAAGTACTTATTATAGATGAAGTGTAAGAAGCTATAAAGAACATGCATGCTGGCATCGCATCTATATCTAGGAGTCCTAATTCGACAATAGCATAAAAATGTGTCACTAAAATGAATTACCAATTATTGATCATCGATTGTATGATCTTTTGATTGAGTTTCGCAGAATTATTAAAAGATTTCTGTTCAAGCGAGATGACGAGATGGAAAGTAAAGTCGAACAAAAAATAACTAAGCAAAGAAAATATTAAGAATAATTCATTCGATTTTATCGTAGAATAGAAACCTGAGAAATAGTTTAGCGTTATATTCTATAGCACTGATTCTCTTCTATTGATTTAAATTATTTTTCCATCAAATACTATCTGATCGATTCGAGACAAATTCGTCACACGTATTCAATCTTATTGAAGAAGAAAATGGAATACATTTGACATTCGAAAAATATTATCAACAATTCATTTATAAGAACTCACAATAAATACAACATTAAAAGCTGAAAACTAGAGTTAATTGACATCAAAAATTGTATTTTAGTTCCAGATAAGAACAAAGAAGACATGTTCTTTATAAATCAAGGCTCTGTTTTCTCTCACACTTATTCCTTAAGACTTTAAGTGAATTTCTACGAATTCTTGCCATGATCAACATCTATAAAGCACCTTCATTTCTCTTGATAACTCGAATTCTATGATGAACTACGTTGGCATATGATGGTTTCAGAAAAATATGGGCCATTACAAAAAAGTTAGAAGTATAAAAAGAATTCAACGTTATCAAGAGAAATGAAGGTGCTTTATAGATGTTGATCATGGCAAGAATTCGTAGAAATTCACTTAAAGTNATCTCATCAAACTGATACCCACTCATTGATACTCAACAGAAATCTAAATGAACACCCTACGACGGCAATATCTGCACGCATTCGGAAAAAGAGTCGAATATTCAGTCAAGAGTCAAGCGAGTCACACGGACGAGCGTTACTTATCTTCTAATTCATCTGTTGTTTATGTTTCATTCTTAACATTTGTCAAAGTATTTTTTCTACTCAGGCTTCTAAATCGAGCATTTGTGATTGACAGTTTTGCTCGATATTATTTTATTTTTCTCAATGTTGATATATTTTATTGATTAATAATTTCTAGTGAAGGTATCAACTTTATCCATTTAGTTATATAGCAAATTATTAATTTGATGAATGATTCGGTTGATTAATTGACGTATATTAGATGAATGGTTTTTTCGATAAACTTTGCAGAATTACTTAAAAACAGGTTATATTTTTAAGATTATTTTGTTACAAATTTTCATCGTACATTTTATATGAATATAATCGTATTTGTTTATTAATTTTCATCTCCAGTTGAATTGATTAAAAATTTTATTTTTATATAATTGTTCTTAAAAATGAAACATATTAATAAGAAAGAATGCAATATTCGCTTGACTTTGTATCATATGAATTTGATTTGAAGGTAAAAGAAAGAGTGATGATTGAAATAGTCAATCATCAAAGAGGTGCATTATTTCAAGATATTAAACAACAATCAAAATATTGTCCAACAATTTTTGCTATCTTGTTTATGATGATCACTTAATGACAAATAATCAAATAGATTTTATTATAAATATAATTAATAAAAGTCCTCCTTAATTTGATTCATTTTGTCAAAATTATTATTTTAAACTCGTATTAATCCTTAAGGAAAACAGAACAAGTAATACATTAGAATAAGATTATTGAATAGTAAATCTTGTTCGATTACGTAAAGTTGAAAAACTATTCAGTTGTTTATTAAGTCAATATCAATTAGAGTATTTTCAGTTTTTTAAAGAACTACCTCGCGTTGTACAAAAGTTAAAAGTTTATTTGAAACTTGTGTATAGGAGTTTCATCAAAATATCGCCTTCATTGTATAAATAATATTTGATATGCTTATGACTGTTTAGAACAATGTGATCAAGCAATAAAATATTATTTAAAAGCGTTATCTTCAATGGCAAATGATATAGATCAAGAAATCTTAATTCATAATGTTAGAATCACATTAGTTTATCGACAGCAATATGAAGACTCGCTTCGATGTCTTGAACAATAATTGTCTCATGCAAACATATGTATCCTCCCGTCATTTTCGAGTCGATATGATCTTGCGCTTGAACATTATCAAAATGTATTAAAAGTATCTTTACTAAATCGTTCACATATATTCAATGCTGTAATTTATCAAAACATAGTTCAAACCTTTTATCATAAAGGTGTCTTCAATTAATCTGTAAATTATGATCAACAAGCAGCAAGTTGTTTTCTTAAAACTCTACCATATAGTCCATTTATTTGCAAAAAAACTATGAACCAATTAAAACAGATAAAATGAACATTTTTTTCCA